TGGGGGAATAAGGATTTTAAGTGCTAATAAGGTTTTGTCCTAAACCCAAAAGCTTTTTCCAAAAATAGAAACAGGAAGACAAGGGCAATGTCAGAAGAGTAAAAGCATGTCACAGAAGAACTGTGTAAGGGTTCATACTGAGATACAACTAATGAAATATGGTAGGACATGAGGAAACAAAGTTGTAAGTGAAAAGACATTCTCTGGATAAAAAAGGGTTTTACATGATACTTTAAAAGACTGATCTAAAATAGACAAGGGCAAAACCAAAAGGCTAAAACATGTCATAAAAGGAGTGTCATAAGATATAATTGATTTAAAAAAACCTCAATACTGCCTTGACAATATTATAAAATAGAAAACCCAATATTGTCTTGACAAATTTATAAAAGGCTTTCTAAAAACTTCCCCTGAAATGCCAATAAAGCTGGGACACAAAAAGTGTGTGACTGATCTCTCTGATACAATCCACTCTCCTCTGTAAAAATGTATCCTTCCTTTACTAAACTTTTTATTACTTTTGCTACATTTCGCATTTTGCTTACAATCTCTAGCCTCTAGGTAACAGTATCTTACCACATAAGAAAGTGCATGCACCTGAAGATCCTGAAAAGGGAAGATGCCCAAGTGTGAGGGCAAGTCAAGACACTGAGCACCATCACCATCATGTTTTTTAGACATGATCAGTCTCATGAAGCCCAGGATGGCCTCAAACTCATGATCCTCTTGCTTCAGTCTCCCAAGTGCTGGGATTACTGTCATGTAACACCATTCTGACTGAACATCTAGCTGAAAGTTACACTTCTTCATCTGCCTATTCTTCTAAGGCTGACACTGAAGACAGTGAGTCATCTGGGATGGGTGCAGAATGATCTGTGCCATTGTGACATGTCCCCTAGTCTGTGCAGATTTTGTGATGACATTTGTCATGTTGCTGCTTTTCGGTACCGCGATCAAAGGAGACATTTTCAACAAGTTAGCAGTATATAGACTGTCATGTGAGGTATGCTTACTGTGTTTTATGTCATTGTGACCAAATACCAGGGCAGACAACTTAAGGGAGTATTGACTGATTTTGGTCATGATTTCAGGTCTCAGTCCATGTGGCAGAAGGGCCTGTTGGAGGAAAGTTCCTCACCTCATTGAAGCCAAGAAGTAGAAAGCATGCGTGTACTGGCAGGCTGTCTTCTTTTCACCCCTTTATCCATGTGGTCACAAATGGCATTTCCTCCCTTCTTTCAGGCTGAATAATGCTCTACTATCAAATATAAAACATTTCCCTTATTAACATTTAGGTTTTCATACATTAATTATGGTGAATAATGCTACTAGTCCGCGGGAGCACAAATATCTCTGAAATATTGATTTCCTTTCTTTAGATACATACCCAATAGTGGGTCACAAGATACTTCTAATTTTTTTTGAGAACTTTCACACTGTTTCCCATAATAACTGTACCAATTTACATTTTTACCAACAGTATACAAAGGTTCCCATTCTCTCCAACACTTGTTTTCTTGTCTTTTTTCTTTTTGTGCTACTGGTGTTTGAAGTCAGTGTCTCATTCTTGCTATACAGGCACTCTATCACTTGGGCCACACCCCCAGCCCTTTTTGCCTTAGTTATTTTTCACTTTCAGTTATTCAGTTATTTTATATTTTCAGGACTCCCCATTTTGTTGTGGCTGGCCTGGTCTCCTATTTACACCTCCTGCTTAGCTGGAATGACAGCATGAGCCACACCAATTTTTGTCTTTTTGATAGTAGCCATTCCAATAGATGACATCTTGTCACTGTGGCTTCATTTGCATTTATCTGATGATTAATGTTGGACTTTTTTCATATAGATAAAACCTTTTTAAGGGTATTTGCAACAACATAAACTGGTTCCTCATCACACTTTTTTTTTTTTAACTGATTAAGGTTTGACCCATGCCCTGTAACTAGCACTATTTTTGTGCTCAAATCATGCCAGCTTTTGGTCAATAGAAGTCCCTTTGATCTGGTTTCCATTTGGCGGTACTGGAGTTTAAACTCAGGGTTTCATGTTTGCTAGGCAGGAGCTCCACAGCCCTTCCACCCTGTCCTTGTAACACGTCCTGCCATTCTTTTAAGTACTTCCTTCTTCTCTAGTACAAGATGTTCATTTTGAACATTTCCTTTCCCAGCTCTCCCTTCTCAGGGAGCCCAGAGGGTAGCTCTCCCTACAATTTTTCCTCCACGGCACTTTTCATGATCGACAAGAATCATTCTTCCATTAAACAGTTCCCTAAAGGAAGGGTCCAGTCTGAGTTTTTTCTTTCCAGAACATGTGGGTAAAATTGGCAAGTGGAAAAAGAACAGAGAAATCTGAAGTATGAGACAGAGAACAGTTGAAGAGATGGATAAACAAAAGTGGATGCATGTGCATTAATTACTTTGATGGGGGGTTGGCCAGCATTTTTGATGAATCCAAAGGTATCAATCCTTGTGGGTTACAAGATTCAATTTGTTAGGACCCTCCTCCTCCTGAAGGAGCCCACCCTCTAGCTGTTACAGTGCCTTCCTCTACTGCTTCATTGAAACTTTTGGGCTCCTCTGATCTTTCTGTGTTTTGATTGGCTGGCTTTTGAGCTGGTCTCTCACCAACTGGCTGAACATTGATGGGAAGGGTGGGATGGTGCCCCTGCTTAGGTTGGGCATGGTGGTGCTGCACTTGGGAGGTAGAGGCAAGATGATCTAAAGTTTGAGCCTGGGCTGCGGTATGTAAGACCTGTCTCCAAAAAAAAAAAAAAAAACCATACCAAAACAAAACAAAACCTCCTTTCTGGGCATGAGGTGAAGCGTGAAGAGGGTGCTGCCTAAACACCCTCAGTTGAAACAGTACCCAAAGCTAACGGCTCAAACCATCTGTTTTTGTGGGACTCCCAGATCCTCACACTTCAGTCTACCAGTGTTGGAAAAACAAAAGCAGAAACATATAAATGTGAAAACACAAAAGCCATCTTCAGAACACACTTTGGGAATCAGCATATGTCTACCTCTGAGTTCCAGATACCTTAATGACTGCATGAATTTCTCTGGAACTCGCAAATCATTCTGCTTGCTTTTTTTTCCCCTTTTAAGGCATCTTCATTTTTTCAGTGGATATTCAGTTTAGTGGAAATCACCAAGTCCTTGGATGATGTTCACACAAATGTGTAATACACTGTTTCATTATAAATTTATATTTTGTGCACACAGTGTGCTGTTTTTTATAATTAAAAACAAGTGCATATATATATATATATATATATAGTGCATATATATATATATATGAATATATATATTCATTTCCCCTTGCTTTTGCAGAGTGCAACAGAGGAAAGAGGTGCATGTTTTCCTTGGCAAGGAAACACCTGCTTCAAAAACTTCACTTCTAAGATGTGAGACAGTAGCCAGGCTGCTCAGCAAACTATCTGTACTGCACTAGCCAAAAGCTGTCCTGATACTGCAAAGTCACGTTAATCTTCTGTTGGGCACAGACAATCTCACAGAATACCAACATCAAGGCTGCTCTGATAACATAACAAAGTAAAACAAAACAAGTTCACTCTAGCCAGGTGTGATGGCAAAGACCTATAATCCCAGCACTTGGAAAGCTGCTACTCTCCAATTATTTTTCCTTATGCCCTCCTCCCTCCTTAATTCCAAATGTATACTCACATATTTTTTTGAAGAAACATCCACTGAATGTCTACCATGTGTAGGCCAGGAAGGTTGAACTGTGATCAAGCCATATCCCTGACTAGAGTAGATTCCAGCCTAGAGGGGAACAAGGAAGTCTAACACCATGGAAGCTTGGCTGAGCAGAGCATGAACAGGTGCAGGGAGCACAGGTAAAGAACTCCTTCCTCATTTTGGGGGGCCAGGGAAGTTGTCCAGAGGGAGATGTCTAAATGATATCAAGAGAGTGAGAATTGACAGGGTACAGATGGATGGATACTCTTAAGCAGGCTAAGGAAGTGCATATGCAAAAGCCTAGAGGGAGTTCACACCTTCAGGCTCTCCAAGGCTGGGATGCCTTGACAGTATTTGGATGATGGGCTCAGAGACAGGGTAAGCGGTGAGCAGGGGGACTGGAGGTGTGGCTCAAATGGTGGAGTGCCTGCTTTGCAAGCATAAAGCCCTGAGTTAGCCCCAGTCCCATCAAAAGCAGAGATCAGATTACACACAGTCTTCAAAACCATATTAAATGGAGGCTAAATGGATGAGCAGGTGATGAACGATCACAGGATATAGTACAGGTAATCAAGAATGAGGAATTGTGAGTAATGAAGATGAGCAAAGCTTTAACCAGAAATGGAACCCCAGCAGTCACAAAGACAAACTGAAGGGAAAGTCTCAGGCATTAAAGAAACACGGAAAAGGATTTACAAGTTACATGTGACTTCCCTGAGTTATGCCAGATGACACAGTTCTCCAGACGCAGAGCAACATGCCCAACAAAGACTCAATGTGTCCAGGCAGGACAGAGAACACTTCAGGGACTTGCCCCTGAGCATATGGACAAGCATGAGCACTGGGATGCCAGTGAGGACTGGAGGAAACTGCTTAGCAACCAAACGCATCTGTGCTGTGACACAGGTGAAAGAGACAACAGCCAGAAACATTCACAGAACCAGGGCATTCAACCTCCTCCCTCACTCCATATCCATGCTCTGCTCTGGATCTCTGTAGAGCTGTCTGTCCTTAATACTACTTCAGAGTATAAGGAAGGCAGGAATCACTGAAAACCCAAATGGTCTGTGGGAAATGAGGGTTGGGCTTTACTCCATGGTCAAGCTTCTGTATGAGATTCATTTTCCATCCCTTTCTCTACATTTTTGAAGTCATCTGGTTTAAATTCGTTGCTTCTCTCTCAAGCTGCAATCTGGGCCATGTACCTCACCCGCTTATCTGTCAGATGAGCTGGGACCCAGTGGATGCTATCCAAGGTTCAAGTTCTCCAAAGGAGTTTAACTTCCAAGAAGAAATTAAACAGATTCAATCCAGTCCATTTATTGAACAAACAAATCCTGGGTAAAAAGAAAAGAAAACTAGGTTTGGGGATAGAGGTACCTAGGGAGGTGACAGAAGCCCCAGCCGTGTGATGTGGGGTGGTGTATGGGGCAGGGGGATCATTTGTAAAACTCATGTTCCTGTTCATCCTTCTTGATGACAGTCTTGTATGCTTTCTCGAAGTCCTTGGCCAGGACAATGTAGCGGTTCTCACGGACAGCCAACATTCCACTCTGTTGAGAGACAGGAATTAAACTCTACTTGTGATGGTGGAGGAAGAGACGGGGCCCAAGACGGGATGCAACAAGGGACAGGACTGAGCACAGTGGTCTCTGGGAAGGGGAAAGGACTTCATACACCCCTTGCTTGAATCAGAGAGAAACCATTGCTCACCTCTTGACAGATAGAGTTGATATCAGCTCCTGAAATCTTATCTGGCCGGGCCACATCTGCAGCAGGTGAGTTAAGGAAACCATTCCCTACATGATGGGGTAAATGCCTGGAGCTGGAAGGCATCCTAGGGTCATCGTGGTGACCATCCCTCCTCCCTAGATCTTGGTTCCCCCCTGCACAGTGTGGTGTTGGTGGTGGTAGCAGAGGTAGAGATGAAGACAGATCCTCATTTCCCCTTACTTCCAGAGCAGGATACAATCTTCCAAGTCAACCTCCTCAGAGAGGTTCATCTTGCTGGTGATGGTGGAGAAAATCAACCTCTTCTGGCGGCGGTCAGGGAGTGGGAATTCAATTTTACGGTCCAGGCGCCCTGGCCGCAGCAGGGCTGGATCCAGGGTATCTGCTCTGTTTGTGGCCATGATTACCTGGTACCAAGAGAGGCTAGCTCAACATCTGCCTTCCCTATGCAGTCTTTGCTGTCATGACACCCAGTCCGCACTAACCAGCTTCCCTTTCCCTGATTCCTGTGCCACGCCTCCCCTTGTCCATCTTAAACTTCAAACCTTGACATTGACATTCTGGTCAAATCCATCCATTTGATTCAGCAGTTCCAGCAGGATTCTCTGGACCTCCCTGTCAGCTGAGAGTATGCAAATACAGTCAGTCCAGCGCATGCCCTACAACAAGCCTGCCCGAGACCCGGGCCCTGTTGGGCATCACTCACCCCCAGTCTGGGCATCGAATCTCTTGGTGGCAATGGCATCAATCTCATCTATGAAGATGATGGCGGGTGCATTCTCCTTGGCCAGGCGGAACACATCCCGGACCATGCGGGGGCCCTCACCCAGGTACTTCTGTACAAACTCCGAGCCCACAACCCGGATAAATGCAGCTGATGGGAGAATGACAAGGGTCAGATGGAGATGAGTATCCTCTGGGGACCCTTCTGCTTTAACTGAAACTGGGAATTCCTGAAGACATCCTGTTCCTTGGACACTTGCTCCTAGCAGCTGGGTCATTCTCAGGCACAGGGTGAACCTAAATCCAGCCCCAAGGACCAGCCATCTGCTTGGGCCCCACAGAGACACAGCAGACCACATCATGAACTCTAAATACATCATTTTTTTGGCCCAATACTTAATGATGAGGCACCTCCAAATTCACTAAGAACAAAGAACACAAAGCAAGTGTGCAACTTCTGTTCCAATGCAGCTAAGCTTGTTTGTCTGGACTGGAATTCTGGACAGAACAAGGACGCTGGTGGGACTCTGATGAAATATGAAGGAAATCTATACTTCAAAGTATTGTGTTGACATTAATTTCTTACTTTTCATAATTGTACTATGGTTATATAAGAGTAACACTAAGGAACCTAGGTGAAGGGCACACAGGAATTCTCTAAAATCATTTTCTCTAAAGTTATTTTCAAAAAATATTTATTTATGGTGGTACTGGGGCTTGAACTCAGGGCCTAAACCTACCAACCCTTTCTCGTGATGGGTTTTTTCGAGATAGGGTCTCATGAACTATTTGCCTGGGATGGCTTTGAATGGTGATCCTCCTGATCTCTGCCTCCTCAGTAGCTACGAATACAGGCATGAGCCACTGTGCCCAGCACCAACCACAACTCCTAATTAGTAAATCTTGACACTTCTACACATTGAGTATTCTGTCCTACAAACTGTGCACAAGGCTTAACATTAGCTGTCATGAAATCCAAGTCTTCTAATTGGCAGGCAGAATTCTTTTAGACTGTAAGTAGTCTGAGACTGTTTATATTCAGAGCCCTCATGATCTCTTCAGCCTCACCTCCTAAACCCTGCCAAACACAATCAGTCAGTCTTTCAAGAACACTATCTCTAAGTATCTACCACAGTTGTCCCTGGACACCAGAAACAGGAAAGAACAAAAGCAACAGGTCCCTGCTCTACTGGCAGGTAATCTACTCATGAGTTTTTAAATGAATTCTTTCTCACCTCTGGGCCTTTGCACAGGCTACATTCTGTCTGGAATGCACTCTCCCAATCTGTGTGGCTGGCAGACTTCTCACACCTTGCTTCCTCTGTGAGTCCCTTCCTGAGAGGCTTACTATACAAGCTGGATCAACACTTCTTCCAGGGCAATCCCACTGCCCTTCTGCTTCCCTGGAGTATTGACTATTGCACAGACTGTCCCCTTTCTTACCTCCAACCACTTGCCCCTCAGCTTCAGTCCACTAACAAGTCACAACACACAACTCACCCTAAGAAAAATATTGCATTATCTCATTAACACCTCATAATCACCCCATGGAATTAGGGCCTTTTCTTTTTCTTTTTGGTGAAATGGAATCCTTACATAGTCCTGGTTGGCCTTAAGCTCTCTTGACCTTCCTGCCTCTACCTCCTGAATGCTGGGATTACAGGCATGTGCTACCATGCCCAGCTGGGGCTAGGCTGAGAGTCAGAAAACCTGAGGGCTACGAATCATGACTTGTATAAGTAAGCATATCTTGGACTGCTGACATTAACTGAAGGACTTGTGACATTCAGCACGGTCTTGCTGACCCACAGGCCCCAAGGTCCACAAAAACAATAGCCTCAGTCTGACCACCGAAGGCCCCAGACTTCCCCTGCCCCACATGTGGAACAGATGACATGCAGCCTGGTCTCCAGAAGTTAATGACACATGACCCCATTTCCCAGCATAGACCACCATAAAAGCTTGAGGTGTTGGGACCTCCAGCACAGTGCTCTTTTTTTTTGGAAGTACGGGGAATGAACTCAGGGCCCTCTACCACTTTGGCCACACTTGCAGCTTTGTTTGCTTTAGCTATTTTTGTTAGTAGTTTCACATTTTTGCTCATGCTGGCCTGGACTTCAATCCTCCTATTTATGCCTCCCAATTAGCTGGAATGACAGGTATGAACCACTATGCCAAGCTTATAGGTTGAGATGGGGTCTTGCTAACCTTGAATCATAATCCTTCTCATCTCTGCCTCCCAAGCAGCTGGGATTACAGATGTGAGCCACAGCACCTAGCCTAGAGTGCTCCTTTTTCAGCCTGCCATCCTTCCATCTGGAGGGTACATTTTTGCTTTGCTTTGCAAACCTGTTCCTGTTTAAGTCTCCTATATGTCTACCGTTGAGTTTTTCTCTGATGAGACCCAGAACTCTCTGGCCCCCAGAATGAGTGACCTGCATCTGGTGACATATTTTGGCAAGCCAAGCCAGGAGACTGAAGGAGACCCCCACTTAGGAGTGGTGACTTTTTCTGATTCTGGTAGTCATACCTGATTCCTTATCAAGATGGAAGGACCACCTTTTTAGTTTTGCTCTCATTGTGTACTATTTTCTTGCAAAACTTGCACAACAGTAGAAACTCTCTCCTGGGTCGAGAAAGACCAGATACTTGTTTCCCAAATTGCAACTACAGGGTTACCATGTAAAGATTTGGGGTTCTTTGTGTATTTTCTTTCCCTTCTGACTTCTCTGGCTTGTACTAAGTTTTGCTGGTCAAGGTCATGTGGAAGTTTTATTATCTTAGCCAGTCCTGGTAGAATATAATATTCTGTAACTCTTAGACTCATGTAAGACCAGAGGAAAAAAATTTGTAAACAACTTTGAAAAATCCTAGTGACAGTAAAGTTTACCTAATAGCTGCAGCTATACGTGGACAGGTGATCTTTGTTTCATTCTATCATATATATAATTTGGGTTAACGAATAAGGTTAAAAACCAATAAATAGAAGATGAGGAGATTTTTTTTTTTTCAAAAAAGCATTTTTGGATAAAAAAAGGACTTTGTATATAAGTAAGTTTTTGTCCTAAAAACAAAAGTGTACCATCCTGATGGGAGGGTAGGCAGACTGAAGAAAGAGCATTGTGCTGGAGGTCCTAAGACCTCAAGTTTTTATTGTCTCTGTACACATGGGGGTAGTTGTCCTGGGAAACAGGGTCAAATGTCATTAACTTCTGGAAACTGGACCATCAACTCCACATGTAGAGCAGGGTGGGGTTTTGGCTTTAGATGATCAGATTGAGGCTATTATTTTTGTCAGCAAGACCCTGCTGTATGTCACAAGTCATTTTTGTGATTCTTGTGATCACAAGATGTGACTCCTTGTCAACATGCAAGCCATTGTTTTCTAAATCTCTGCCTAGCCCCTATAGCATAAGGACTTGAAGTCATTTGTCTAGGATTACACAGCCAGTAAGAGGCATACCTGGACTATGACTCCAGAGCCCGTGTTTGTAGTTCCTGTGCTATTCCATTTCCTTTGGAGGATGAGCAGGCAGGGAGCAAGGTGAGGGGCAAAAGGCTCACCTGTTGTGTGATGTGCCACAGCCTTTGCTAACATGGTCTTCCCACAGCCAGGTGGGCCATACATGAGGACACCTCGGGGAGGATCAATGCCAATCTGAAACCCAGAGGTGGGGAAAGGATGAGTCTACAGTCCTGTCACCAACCCCAGATCCAGTGGGGTCTTTCCCTGCCCTGCTACCTCACCTGCTTATAGAGCTCGAAGTGTGTAAGCGGAAGCTCCACAGCCTCCCGCACCTCCTGCTTCTGGATGTCCATGCCTCCGATGTCTGCATACATCACGTCTGGCTTCTGGTCTGGTGGGAGAGCAGAGCTGGGGCTTCCAGCCTAGAACACAGGGCCCCTTGGGAATCCTCGGTCCTACCCTCCCCCCTAACCTGAGGTGAGCATCATGATGCTGCTATCAGCCTCAGGAGGCAGCACATCCACCAAGGCATTGCTGTGCTTGTGAAGGGCCACTGACGCATTGGGCTTGAGCAACTCCCGATCAATGGTGCTCAGGATGCGCACATAATAGTTGGAGCCTTTGGGAACAAGAAGGAAGAGGGGAAATGAGAATTGCCAGGGCCTCAAAACTGTCCCTTCCACCCTCTCCCTTACTTCATAGTTGTACCCTTCAGGTCACCAATATTGCTCGCTGAGACACAGATGGGCCCCTCTCAGTCTCCAGTCTTGCCTCTTCTAATCCATCCCTCACACTCACACTAATAACTTCCTTGTATGTCTATGGCCCTGACTCTATATTGAGTTCCAGCTCTGGATGTCCAGCACAATTCCCCCTGGGTATCTCTCACTCAACATGTTCCAATATAATCCCTGTATCTTTCCCAAAATTGTGCTGCTCCTCCCAGATCTGTCTCAAGGACACCTACTACCTCCAAGTCCCCATAGAGAACCCTGAGCCTTGTCCTAGACCTTTCTCCCCTTCTCTCCATAGCCCATCAATCACTATACCCTTCCACCCAGCCTCCCAAGTCTCTTTCCAACAATCCTTCTCCTTCTTTTCCTGGCTTCTGCCCTGATTTAGCCCTATGTTCTGTCTAGGTTTCCTCATGATTCCTGGTCACCCAGCCTCCATCTCTCCTCTCCAATTTGTTAGACAGATGCACAGCAATCTATCTTCTGATCATCAACTTGACTGTCCAATAGTCTCCTAGACAGCTCCCTGAAATGTCCTAGACAGTTCTTACTGCCTCCCTCCAAACCTGCCCCTCTACCCTGTTGCCATTTTTAAGGAATGCCCCACCGTTCTCCTGAATCTCACATTCAGAGATACAGGCCTCACCCTGGATGCCACCCTCCCTTCAATTCCTCATACCCCATCACTACAATTTCAGGTAGTACCACACCTTTGCCCAGAACCTTTATAAAAAGATGGCCTGGCTCACAGAAGCAAAGGCCAGAAGCAGGAAAAAACAGGTAAGACACCAGAGAAGATTGGACTTAAGTTAATAGTAGCAATTACCAAATACTAAGCCCTTACCAGAGCCAAATCTCTTATGTGCATGTATTATACATATGTATGTATATATACATATAACTAAGCAGCAAAAAAACAGCAGAAGACAGACACTTACGAAGTAAAATAATTTTTCCTTTTGGATCACTCAAAATCCTTTGAAGATCACCACTATTAAACTGTCCTATCTCAACAGCTGTAATGTAGCACATGTCAGTCTCCAGTTCCTGGTACATGGCAGGAATTAGGTGTTGAGTGGACAGGTGACTGAGGTGCTCCTGCCCACCTCTCCACTCACCTGTGGTAGAGCCCACAATAGCTGTGTTCTGATCCACAGCTTCCAGAAACTGCCCAATAACCAGTGGGATGCTCTGGATTCGCTTCACCTCTTCCTGGGCATGGAGGAATTCCTTCTTCAGGTTCTTCTGCTCATCCTTGATGTACTCCTCCTGCACCTCCAGGAACTCCAGCTCTTGCTGCAACTTCTGTGAGCACAAAGAGGAGAGAGATGACTCTAGGCCTTGCTGTGCCAAGGCAGAAAGTAGGGGAAGCATGAGATGTTAGGCCCTGTGCAGGATTCAGATTGGGGTTGAATATACCTTGTAGCGACTGTACAGGTCCTCCAGGTCCTCAGGTTCAGGGCCCAGGAAGGACAGGCCAGTCTGGGGCCGGGACACAGACAGTGCTGGGATCTCATCCTAGACCAAGAGGAAGAACTCAGATTTGAAAAAGAGAATTCCCTTATGAGTCCCCTTCCCACTTCATCATGAAGTCCTCCACTTCTAACAGGCTCCCAACATCATTCAGTTCCTCCAAATAAATCCTGGAAACTTAACCCTCTAAATAGGTTTCTGATCTCTAAGCAAGCCCTTTTTCTCAACTTGCCTCCTAAACGGACCTGCTCTGATAAGCCATTCATAGCATGATCCCAATGTCATTAACTAGGATCTAAATGTTCCATCAACTCCTTACCAGTGCCTCACCTCAAAGATTTCTCATGTCAGACTCCCAAATCACATTAGGGACATGCATTACTCAGCCAAGCCACAAGTAATATCGCAACGCCTTCCCCAATCAAGCCACAACCATCAGCCATTCCTCTAGTCACACCGCACCAACATCCCAAGGCCAGGTCCCATATACCACTCATCTCCAGACTCAACCCCAACCCGACAGGTCAACGATGTCCATAATCACCCCTAGCCAGGCCTCGGAAAACCCTCTAACGCCACTACCCACCCCCCAACACCCCCCGCTTCGCTTCCTGAACCTTGCCACCGTCCTAACCACTTGGCCACCAAGACAGGCCTCGGGACGGTACAGAGCTCCACACTGCGGCCTCTGAAGTCACCCAAAGCCGGGCTGGGATCCTCAAAGTCACCTAGCCTCCCTCACTAAGGTCTAGCTTCACCCCGCCAGCCCGGGTCGGCCCCAAAACCCAAATTCCCACCGCACCTGAGCCTTCTCCACCAAGATGCCTATCTCCTCCATAGTGACCAAGCCCGCCTGTGTGTGGCTGGGCCAAATCAAGTCACTGCTTCCGCTGACGACAGCGGAAGTTTCCGGCCAACAGGATCCTGGGAAACGTAGTTTAAGCTACCGCCGAGAGAGGGCTGCACAAACCCAATGGAATGAAGTGCGGCAAAACTTCCGCCCCAAGACACACTTAGGCGCCCTGCGTTTCCCGCGAGCGCGCGAACAGGGTTGGCGTCTTGCGCGTGCGCAGTAGTGAGCAATGGCGCCATCTTGCCCAGCACCGGCTCGCGGGCCTGTTGTCCAGTAGGTGGCGCAGATACATTGCTCTTGAGATTGAGGAGTTGGGCACAGTCTAGCTGCCAAGTGCTCTGTCATTTACTGGGGGACTGGAGTGGCTTTGGGCCGGATTCCATAAAAGGGGTCTTTTAGGAGGCCTCCAGTTTCCATGGAAAGTGTCTTTTAGACGGTCTTCTCATAAGCCACCCCCAAGATTGTGCCCAGAAGGCACCACCCTGGAGTGGGAAGCCCAGTCTGCAGTTCCATAAGAACTGGAACAAATAGAATCGGGGCTGATTTTTATGGAGAAAGAAATGGACATCAAGCCATGAAGCCACGTTAACAGTCACAAATGGCAGAAATGGCAGAACAGGATTGGAACCTTGGTTTGTCCCCCAAACCTGTGCTCCTGGTACTAGGGATACAAACACCAGCTACAATTTTTGTTAAGTAAATTTGTACTGGAGTATAAGGACATAGAGGAGCACAAATCATTACCTTATAGTTAGATGAATTTACACAAATTGAACGCCAGGTATAAATGAAAGGAAAACGAGGGAAAAGAACTGAGGCACTTAAGGAAAAGGAGAAGGACAGACTCTGAGAAAGAATCTGCGACCTTCACAAGCAGCAGGCCTTTATTGGGAGAGAGAGGCGTGAGAGGGGCCCTCGGCCATCAGAGTAGGCCTTTCTCACAGGTTGGGGTTTTTAAGCACCCTGTGAGTGGAAAAGGGAGGTTGAAAGGGGATGGGCATTAAGCAAGGCAGCTGGGGAGGAGAGTGGAGGGAAGTGTTGGACATTTGGTGGGAGGATCATCTGGTCTGAGCAGCCTGTCCTGTTGTTTTTCTCTGGCCTTCTTATCTGAGGTAGCCATATTTGCATTGTTTCAGTGTTTCTTGACATTCCAGTATTTCAGGCATATATATATTATATATATATAAAATATATATTATATATATGGAGTGGGGGGCCACTGTTTGTATTCTGACTACTTCTGGCTGGCCAGGGGTGAGGGTTTTTTCTTGTCAAGCCTGGAGAGTTTGTAGAAATATAATGGCCTTGAGTTGCTCCCCTGAGGTAGCCAAGGAGTTAGTGGTAACACATTCCTGTAAAAGTTTTTGAAGAATATTAATGAGACATAGAAGGAACATTAGGGCCAGACAAACAAGGATGAGTGGGACTGCCAGTGGGATGAGCCACAGATACAAAGAGGAAAGAATATTAATAGGTTGTGAGGATGTTAGCTGTTGTGCCTTCTCCTTGAGTTTCTTTATCCTGTCCCTGACTACACCAGAGTTACTGGTAAAAAAAAAAAACAAAAAACCAAAACCAAAACAAAACAACAATCCTATCCCAGGAAAAGGCATAGCCTGCCTTTTTTAACTGTGAGGAGATCTAGTCCTCTACTGTTCTGTAGGACCACTGCTACTAATGAGTTAATCTGGTCTTGAATTGCAGAGATCTGTAAGGCAATATCATTAAGGCTTTCTTTTAGGGCTTCTGACAGTTCCTGGAACTGGCTAATTGATACTTTTAGTCCAGCTGAACCTGTTCCAACTCTAGTGAGAAGACCCAGTCCCACCACCAAGGGGGTGAGGCCAATATCTCTTTTGTACATATCAAGCTAACAACCAGAATGGGGATTATTTCTGTGTTAATGGTGTATGAGACTGGGGGAATTAAGATGAGTGTACAAATTTCCATCCAGTTAGTAGGCACGCATGTATATATTTGTGACCCATACAGTAAGATGATCCCTATGGAGGGGAAGAGACATCACATTAACTTGAAGGAAAGGAGGGGTTCTAGTTGATCTGCATTTTGCTCTCTTCATATGAGTGGAAGAAGATGGAGAGGGAGGCCATTAGAAGGAGCTTTAAGAGAGGAGAAGAGGCATTGGTAGGTGTGTGTGAGGACTCCATGATGAGCCAGTGGGTTGACAGGTAGAGAAAGAGCTGGGAATGAGGTGTGAATAATAGTTTGAAGTTACTCTTGGAGAAGAGGTTTGAGTTGAGTCCCAGTATATTGAAGACTGGAATGGCACTAGGTTGGAGTCTCCCATTACAAAAGTCCGAGGTGGCTGTAGTGAACTTGCCCTGGGAGGCAAGGAATGGTGGTGTGATGAAATGAATAGGTTGAGGGTCAAGAAGTAGGCCATTTTGATGTGTTTGCACCCATTACTCCCTTGGTTAAGGAGTTTGAGTTGCCCATGATGGGGGGGTGGGTGGGAGGAGAAGGATCTGTGCACAGCAGGAGACATTAAGGGAGCCTATGGGCCAAGAATCTGGAAAGTAGGGTCTTTGTTTGCATAAAGGTGCTGTCCCATAGAGGTCAGCCTGGGCTATAGAGCCTATAATACGAGGAGGCGCTTTTGGAAGGGTGGAGTGTTGTGAGTTTCCCAGTAGGGGTGTTAGTAGGAATTTTAAGTCAAATAAAGCCTTGGGCTTTATTTGGGCATTATTGCTTTGTGAGCAGCAGGTGGAGAACACAGTGTCCCTGTGAGCCGAGCTTTGATATATGGTCCCCCTCTTGTGGTGGTCTACTAAGGTGGCAGGAGTGCAGTCCATCCCTTTTCAGTGGACCTAGTGCAGATCCAGCAAAAGGAGAATTTGGGATTGATGGCTAAAAGTAGTTGAGCAGAGGTATTAATCAAGGGAGAGTATACAGTTAAAGGGGTTGGGATTATTGCTACCTGTTGGAGGGGTAGGATGAGGAGTGCCTCTACAAAGAGAGTAGAGACAAGAGATTCATTGTGAGAGGAATGGTGAGAATTGAGTGTGAAAAAAACACAAAAGAGAAGAGCATTTGGTCAGGTGTGAAGTTGATGAGATCTCCTTGTAGCCAGAGGTCCGAGATGATCTGGATGTGGTCTTGTGGTAGATGATAATTTGTAAGCTGGTTTTGAAGTATTTGAAGGAAGGCCTGGTAGACTTGGAGGAGTCAGTTCATCTGCTTCTCAGATGGAGAGCAGATGGGTAATACAGATTTTGATGGGTCCAGTCCTGAAAAACGAGAGAGCAGCAGGGGTCAGTGCAGCAAGGGTAGACGAGGCTTGCTTTATAGAAGATACATGAACCCATGGTTTATATCCCTGCAGTTTAACCGCAGTGGGGGTTGTTAAAATAATCCATAGAGGGCCCTTCCAAGGAGGTTTTAAGGGGAGGGGGCCTTGTAATAAACCCATTCCCTGATCTGAACTGGGTCAGGGTTTGAAGGAGCAGGAGAGGTGGGTTTTGGGAGGTAGGTGTCCAGGTGTACCCATAGTGTTGTCCTCATATAAGGTAATGAAGAAAGTGGGGCAGAAGGAATGTTAGAGGGTGTTACAAGAGGGCGGCAACACATGTCCTCAAAAGGGCTAATTAGCAGAAGTTTTGTGGGAGGGCTTGGGTAAGGAGGAGAGCTGAAGGTAATAGTTTAATCCAGTCCATTTGGAGTTCCTGAGTAAGTTTAGTGAGTGAGTTTTTCAGGGTGTGGTTGACCTTTTTCACTTTCCCTCCTGAGGATTGTGGATGGTATGGAATATGGAGATGGCATCTTGATCCCACCTAGGAGGTTAATTGTTGAATGATGGTAGAAGTGACTTTGTTATCTGATTGTAGTGTTGTGGAGACCAAAATGGTGAATGATTTCTCTAAAGAGTATACTGGCTACCATAGAGGATTTTTTTATTAGTAGTAGGGAAAGCTTCTATCCACCCTGTTAGAATGTCAATGAAAACTAGAAGATATCTGGTGAGCTTAATGGGGCAAGTAGGTAAAGTCTACCTGCCAGTCCAAGTCGGGCAAGTGGCCTCTTGCCTGGTGGGTAGGAAAAGAAGGGTGTAGGACATTTGATAATGGGCTGGTTTTGGAACACATGGGGCAAGAGGATGAGATTTCCTTTAGTGTTTTATGAAGACTAGGGTGGGGGGCAATGTGGGTTTTAATAAAATGAAGTAAGGACAGAGCGTTAGAATGAAAGACTCTATGAAGGGTGGTTTTATTTGATGTTCTGACAGGACAAGGGAGTCATTAAGAAGCCAGTAACCCTGGTGTTGGTTGGCCCCTTGAGTTTTTAACAATTCCTTTTCCTTTTCTGTGTAACTGTAGTGGACTAGTAAGATAATTTGGAGAGGGGTTTGTTGTGTTTGTGTTTTTAACAATTCCTTTTCCTTTTCTGTGTAACTGTAGTGGACTAGCAAGATAATTTGGAGAGGGGTTTGTTGTGTTTGTGTTTCTGCCATCCATTTGGTGGTGGTATCTGCTAAGTTATGGCTAATAGATATGAAAGTGTTCTCTTTGATGTTCCTTACAGTGGAGGATGGCAGCTTTGTGGGAGAGGGTGACTGCTTGTAAAAGGGCCATAATATGTTTTGCATTAGTTATTGGGGACCCCTTGGTTGTTAAGAAACCCCATTCCTTCCAGATCTGACTGTTGGAATGGATGATGTTATAGGTGTATTTTGAGTCTGCATAACTGTTAACCATCCTATCTTTTGCCCTTTGTAATGCTTGTGTAAGAGCATATAATTCTGCCTGTTGGGAAGTGGTTGTAGGAAGAAGGCTGTTTGTCTCTATGAGTGTGTATGTAGTACTCTTTGGGTGCCCCTGGATTATTGCATAACCTGACTTAGGTGCAGTGGTAGTGGAGGCCTTTGTAGAGCTCCTGTCCACAAACCAGGTGGAAGCATTGGGTAAGGGGGTGTCTAAGATGTGATGAAAGTCATCAAGTATTTAAATGCAGTCACAGGATAGAGGTCACTGGATGAGGGGGGCTGTTTGAGGGTAAGAGGGTGGCAAGGTAGTCTCTCACATTGCCAAAAAGTTAGATCAGATTATAGGAGAAAAGAGTGTAAGATTTGGACACAAGATGGGGAGA